CATGAATAACCTGGCCAGTTATTCTCTCTCTAATTATTGCTTATGGAGGCTGTAGTGTATGGATGTGCAGCTGCTAATCACAGGCTTCCAGATGAACGCAAGGCAGCCTTTTAATGTTAACAAATGAAGACACTCTTAATTTAATCACTCATTTCTGGGTCAGGGAGCCGAAGCTGCCAAGGCTGTTTGGTGCAGGGCAAACACAGAACCCTCATCACAGGGGGTTTGCAGTGGGGTGAGCCAGGCCTGTTTTGCATACCTTCCTGAGGGGCATCAACCCACCTCTGCTCAGTGAAATGAACCATCACTTTCCATTGTTTATGCATAATCGTTTCATCAATGAGAATGGGAAAGAACTAGGAGGAGGATGAAGGAAGAAAGAAACAAAGATACGGAAAGAAGGAAGGAGGCAGAAAGCGGGGGAGGGACGGAAGGAAAAGGGGAAAGGGAGGGAAGGAGGACAGTAGGACATCTTTTAGCAATGTATCATTTTCCAAAGACCAGAAATGCAGTGTCCTTGATGTCTTTATAACTTGTAATCAATTTTAATCGATTAGTGCTAATGGCACTTCTAAGACAATGTTTCCAATCTATCAAAACAAAACATTTTCAAGATATATGTTCAGAGCAACCCAGTCCTGCAATCAAGAGTTCTGGCTTGGCGATCAGGGGGTTGGGTTTGCATCGTAGACTCACTACGGACCAGCTGTTAACAAATAAATTCGTAGCCCTGCTATCTCTGAGATAACAATTGTACTTAATCCACAGTGTTGTTTGAGGAGTGAGTAAAATTAATGTACTTTCTGGGCTTAGTACAGGGCCTGGCACATAATAGATGCCTAATAGTTGCTTTAAATGGAAGATTGTCTATCAAAGGACCCATTACTGACTGATTGGGACTTCGTGGATTGTGGAGCCGACAAGAGGGTTTTCAAGGGCAATCGGTTCTTTGGGGATGAAGGTCCACTGGGGGTTGCAGCTTCCTAAAAGGGCACAGCTGGGGTGGAAAGGGCATTAGCAACAGCGTCTCCATCAAGGCATCTCTGCCTCCGTATCATAAAAGCATCGGAAATTCACACATCTACCTGGGGTACCCACACACAAATGAAAGCTCTGGAGAAAACCACCGCTTAAACTTTTTGGAGCTGCCAAAAAGTTCACTGTGTGCTCATCTCTCCAAATTAAGATGTGCTTGGCAAATGACAGCTCTGGCTGTGATACATTCACTTGTTCACCAGTTAGGTGAGGGCTGGGAAGCATTTTTTAGGAGGAGGCTAAAACATAAACGCTTCATCACAATTTCTTTCTCCTTTGATGTACTTCAAGGTTGACACCATTTGTGCGCTGGAGAGATGACTAACTTCCCTCTGACAATTTCTATGTCTCAAATCAGGCAGTCCAGAAGTTGCAATATTTCTATTATGTAAACCGTAGATTCAGAACTGCTAATGAATGTGTAACATGGATCTAGTTTGAAGGTTTTCTCTCATTTTCCTGAATCCTTGGTAGTTTTTTAGACTTGTTTTTAATTGACAAATGCTAATTTATATATTTACTGTGTACAACAGGATTTGATGGCTGCATACAATGACTGAATCAGTCCATTTAACATATGCATTATCTCACATACTTTTTTGTGGTGAGAGATTCAAATCTCTCAATTTGAATTTGAAGAGATTTCCCAAACTCTTTCTCATCTACTATGCCATTTTAGCCTCACAATGGCCTTGTGCATTGGAACTTGTAACTACCCTTAACTTATGAACAAGAAAAGCAAGGCTGGGAGAGAGAGAGGGGCTGTCACCCACAGCACATCAGAGGCTACACTGTGATGCATTCTGGCTCCAAAGCCAGAGAAAACCTACACTCTGCCACCTGCATAAAGACTTGTCTGGGAAAGATACCTCCAAAGGTTATCTTGAAGTGGTCAAGGAAGTATGCTCTACATTTGAAGAGTGCTGTTTGATGTGCTTCTAATTTCATGTGTTGCATTCATTCCTGTTCATTTAGTCATTTGTCTTTGGTTTATTCATTAAATAAATACCCCAAACACATGCCCAACTCCTGTTGATACATGGAAAACAAACAGAATTCCTAGGGCACATTCCAAGTCGGTGCTTGGTAATCTCCTCTCCTGACTCAGAATTCAACCTTAACACCAGCTCTATCCCCTCCCTTCCCTATCCCCAGCTCACTGCTGTCCCAAGTGAGGACTCACTAGTTGAGCCAATCCTTGGCCAGTGTGATGTTTTAGTGAGTCTGATCTCCCCACCACCAGGTTGAGGAGTGGATTTGCATTGGATCTATGAGTTGAAGGATAAGTTAAAGCCTACGTATCAGAAACAAGGAGTAAAGAAGATGCAAGGAAGGAAACTAGCATGTAACCTGCAAAGGCCTGAGCCACAGAGGACCTCACAGAAAGTTCAACGCGGCTGCAGTGTGGGATTCACGCAGGGGATGAGGCTGCAGCAGGGGCTGGTTCAGATGATGGAGACCCCCAGGTTTTCCACTGCACATAAAATCAAACTCCACTCCATTCCCTGCCTGGGTTCCTAACCTCCTCTCCCACTGCTCCTCTCCCCTCCTGCAGGCCCACTTTGAGCTCGTCAGGTTCCTTCCATCTTTGGGGCCTTTGTATGTCCTCAGTTTAGACCCCTCCCACTCCCCATCTTACCTCACCTAGTTAATAGATTCACCAGAAACATCTTCTTGAATGTGACATCAAAGGCCTTGATGTCTTCTTTCACAACTGGTATCCCAGGTTTCGATTATCTGTTTAGGTGTCTGATTACAGTTTAATGTCCTTCTCCCCCTATTAGGATGTAAGCTCTTTCATGAAAGAGAAGTTTGGGTCTGTCAGTTCACTGCTGTATCCCTCATGCCTTGCACAGTGCTCAGTACCTAGTGGATGTGCAAATATTTGGTGGATAAATGGATGGAAAAAATGGATAAATGGATGGATGGATGGATGAATGGATAGATGGGTAGATGGGTGGGTGAGTGGATGGATAGATGGGTGGATGGGTGGATGGATAGATGGATGGGTGGGTGGGTGGATAGATGGATAGATGGGTGGATGGATGGATGGATGGATGGACAGATGGAAGGGTGGATGGATGGATGAATGGATGGATGGATGGATGGATGGATGGGTGGATGGATGAATAAGACTGGGGACAGTCATCTTTTTTATCTCTGACTCCGTTTGTGATCCCTTGGCTGCAAACTGAATGTTATGTCCTTCTCAAATTTCTATGTTGAAGTGCTAATCCCCAATGGATAGTATTTGGAGGTTAGGCCTTTGGGAGGTGATTACATCAGGAGGATGAAGCCCTCATGCACGGAATTAGTGCCCTTACATTAAAAAGATAAGAGAGAGATAATCTCTCTCTTCACCACATGAGGATAAAGCAAAGATTCCTCCATCTGCAAACCAGAAAGAATGCCCTCACCAAAAACCAAATCACATGTTATCTTGATTTTTGACTTCTCAGCCTCTAGAACTGCAAGAAATAAATGCATGTTGTATAATTCACCCAGTCTCTAGTATTTATATTATAGTAACCTGGATTGACTAAAATACCCTCTGAATACAGGATATTTTAGAAAGGCAGAAAAGTTTCTGCATCATGAGACAATATGCACCACATACAATTATGGTGCCCCTGTGGGTTTTCTTTTCTTTCTTATTTTTTTCTCTTTGGTGGGTGGGTGGGTGGCAGGGTTGGACTGAACTGCCAGAGGGCACCAAAGTTCCTTACATCTAGTTTCACCCCCCCCACCCCACCCTCTAGGTTGCAGTAGCAGGAAGCCCAGATATTTAGAGGGACAGAAACACCAGCTGCTCCCTCACCCCCAATTATGGTCAAAACTGGAATCCCAAAAAATATGGTTTTTTTATTTAAAAGTATTTATTGGGCACCTGTAACATGTCAGGCATCATAGTACGGGAGATAAAGAATTAAATACAATCACTGCTATTCAGCATGGTACTGAGAGTTTCAGCCAGAATATTCAGGAAAGAGAAAGAAATAAATAGGAAAAAAAAAGAAGTCAAACTATTTGTCTTCATGGATGATATGACTTATTATATGCCAAGAAAATGGGAACCGCACCTTCCCAGAGAAGATGTTTTCGAAGACGTGGATCTGCTGGTCTGCATAGAAGGGCGGGAAGCCCACGGCCATCCCGTAGAAGACCTAGAAGAAATGGAAACATTCCTGAATTTGTTTGTATAACTCTTCTAAATTGGAAAATGAAGAAATAGAAAACCTGAATAGACCAATAACAAGTCAGGACATTGACTCAGTAATAAAATGTCTTCTGTTGGTGGCAAGTTCAGTGCCTGATGGCTTTAGTACTGAATTCTACTACATTTAAGGAAGGATCCATGCCAATTCTCCTCAAACTACTTAAGAAAATTTGTGAGAAGGGAATACTTCTAGACTCATTCTAAGAGGCCTTCATTATCCTGATACACAAACCAGAAAAGGACAGAACAACCAATAAAAAGTAAGAAAGCTACATGCCAATACTATGTTTTGCTTGTTTTACTTTGCTGTTTTTAATTGTTTTTATTTTTTTAATTTTTAATTTTAGCAAGCAGCCCATTGAACATGGCACTAAACCTCTCTCCTTCCCTAAGCGTGAATCCCTCTTTCCACACCCTGTTCCTGGATACACCAACAAGACCTGGCCTGAATAGAGCTGAGAAACTAAAACAGGTAGAAGTGGGCTGGGGCAAGGGGGACTCTGCGGGAGGAGGAAGGGAGAAGCACAGAGGGCCCAGGAAGGCATAGGGGGTGAGGGAGCAGCTGGTGTTTCTGTCCCTCTAAACATCTGGGCTTCCTGCTACTGCAACCCTAGAGGGTGGGGTGGGGGGTGAAACTAGATGTAAGGAACTTTGGTGCCCTCTGGCTGTTCAGTCCAACCCTGCCACCCACCCACCCACCCAAGAGAAAAAATAAGAAAGAAAAACCCACAGGGGCACAAGCACACCCTTAAAACTGAGAAAACTCGTTGGCATACTTCTCCTTGATGGAGATGCGGATCTCTTCCTCCTCGTAGTTGTCAAAGTTACTGGCATCCCCAGGGCCTTCGAACTTCGGGATGAAGGGAGCTTCCACCTTCTTCTCACAGAGGGTGATCCAACTGGTTTTGGGGAACCACTTGTGGTTCTTAATGTCGCCGACCCCGTTCCGGAGGTTCCCGAAGCGCTTGGAGAGGTCCACCTGCAGCAGGTTCCGCAGCAGGTCCTTGAGGTCAGAGCTGACGTGGGAGGGGAACCGCACCTTCCCGGAGAGGATGTTTTGGAAGACGGAATTCCGCTGGTCGGCGTAGAAGGGCGGGAAGCCCACGGCCATCTCGTAGATGAGCACCCCCAGGGTCCACCAGTCCACGGCCTTGCTGTAGCCTTTGTTCAGGATGATCTCGGGGGCCAGGTACTCTGGGGTCCCGCACAGGGTCCAAGTGCGGCCCCTCACGCGCTTGGCGAAACCGAAGTCGGTCACCCGCAGGTAGCCCTGCTGGTCGATGACGGTGTTCTCGGGCTTCAGGTCGCGGTGGATGAGGTCGAGCGAGTGCAAGTACTGGAAGGCCAGGACGATCTGGGCGGCATAGAAACCGGCATGGGGCTCTGTGAACCTTCCGACGCGCTGTAGGTGGGAGAACATGTCCCCACCCGGCACGTACTCCATCACCAGGTACAGGTTGGAGTTGTCCCTGAAGGAGAAATGGAGCTTGACGAGGAACGGAAAGTCGATCGCCTGCAGGATGCGCTTCTCGTTCAGGACGTGCTGGACCTGTTTCAGTCTCACCACCTTCTCCTTGTTGAGGATCTTCATGGCATAGTGGCTGCCGCTCTCCCGGTGACTCACCAGGACCACCCGCCCGAAGGAGCCGATGCCCAGCGTCTTGAGCAGTTTAAACTGATCCAAGCGGGCGGTGTTCTGAACCGGGCGTTCCCATCTACGGAGGAAATCTTCTTTGGCTCCGGCTATGAACTCTTTCACGACCTTCTGCTCGGTGTCCTTGGCGGGCACGTTGCCCATGGCGGTTATGGCGGCGGCGGCGGGGTTCTGGCGACAGCGTCGGCGGACTAATGGCGGCGGGGGTCTCGCGACCGCGGCGGCTGCGATGGCGCCCCCCTGGAGCTGGCTGCGACCCCCTACGCACCCCCTGCGCCCCGGGCCGGCTTACAGTCCCAGCTAATGAGAGGCTGACAAATATGGGAGGATTTCTTGAGCCTGGGAGGGCGAGGCTTCCGTGAGCCAAGATCACCCAGCTGCCCTCAACACTATGGATAAATCGAAAAGGCATTATGCAAGTGAGAGAAGCCAACTCTAAAGGGGACTTGGCGTATGAATCCATTTCTTTACTTTTTACTTTATTATTTTACTTTCTTTACTTTATTACTTTTTTTTTTTGTAGAAGTAGGGGTCTCCCTATACAATCATACTGGTCTTGAGCTTCTGCACTCAAGCAGTCCTCCTGTCTCAGCCTCCCAGAGTGCCGGTATTACATTTGTGAGCCACAGCACCCCGTCATCCAATATTCCTGAGGCACACAGATGCAAAAATACTCAACAAAATAATAGCAAACTAAGTTCAACTGCAAACTGAAAAGATCATCCACTGTGATCAAGTAAGTTTCATCTGAGAAATGCAAGATGGTTAAACATATGCAAATCAGTAAACATGACACATCACATTAACAGAATGAAAAAGATCATATGAATGTTTCAGAAAAGGCAGGAAAAACATCTGATAAAATGCAACATCTCTTCATGATAAATATTCTCAACAAATTAAGTATAGAAACTATAGTTCAACACTGTAAAGGCCCTATATGACAAAACTACAGCTAACACCATACTGAACAGAAAAAATTGAAAACTTTCTTTCTAAGTCTGGGCAGTCTGTGCTTTTTCCAGGGAATCACACAACCAACAGATCAGAAGATCCCACTCACGAACCCACACCACCAGGCCTAGCATCTCAACTCCAAAACTTGCAGATCCTTACAGCCTCTCAGCTGGCATCCACGTAAGCCTACCGAACTCCCTCCTGAGGGGAAGGGCAACCAGCACCAGCTGTGACTGCCTGTTGTCTAAGTCACTTGAACTCCTTGGGGAAGAGGCAGCAGCCAGCACTGGGACTCAGAACTGACTAACACACTAAGCTCCCTGGGTGGGGGCAAGGCGGCATCCATTTCTATAGCTCCAGGATGGGCTTTCCCCTTGCTGGGGCAAGGGAGGCTAGATGGCTCAGTCCCAAGACTTATCTCCACAGCCCAATACACAGGCAGTGCCAGTCTGTGGCTAGAGTGCCTCTTCAGGTCTAACGCTGACCCATCATTTCCTCAGTGGGCAGGGCTTCCCTGGAGCATCTCCAGTAACTCCAGCCAGATGCCCAGGGACAGATTTCCAATCTTCCTGGGCCTGAGCCCCTGGGGAGAGGGGTGGTCTGCAGAGACTGCAGACCAGCAGACTTAGCCTCTTCTCCTGGTAGCTCTGAGGAATCCAGCCAACCCAGGCGAGTGGGTTTCTCCCCAGCAAAACACACCCCTACCACCAAGGGACAAAGTGCTTCATTGAATGCATCCTGCTCCCTGTGCCACCCAACTGGGTGAGACCCTCCAACAGGGATTGTCAGACACGCTATACAGGAGCGATCCTACTGTCATCAGCTTGGTGCTCCTAGAGGTCAGAGAGGTCCCAGAAGAAGGAACAGGCACCCATCTTTGCTGCTCTGCAGCCTCCTTGAGTGACATCTGCAGGCACGGGAGTGAATCAGATGGATACCGCCTGAAGTGAACCCTCAGGAAACTGCAGCAGCCCTACAGAAGAGGGACCTGACTGTTGAAAGAAAAACAAGCAGAGAGCAACAACAGCATCAGCAACAACAGAAAGGCCCCTGCAAAACCCCATCCAAATGTCAGCTGCCTCAAAGACAGAGAATAGACAAACTCACAAAGATGAGAAAGGATCAACAACCCCCCCAAAAAAAAATGCTGAAAACCAAAAAGGCCAGAGTACCTTTCCTCTGAATGATCTCAACATCTCTCTATCAGAGGTGCATAACTGGATGGAGAATCAGATGGGCAAACTGACAGACGTAGGCTTCAGAAGATGGTAATAAAAACTATGCTGAGCTAAAGGAGCATGTTCTAACCCAATGCAAAGAAACTAAGAGCCTTGATGAAAGGTCACAGAAATTGCTAACTAGAAGAACCAGTTTACAGAGGAACCTAAATGGCCTGGTGGAGCTGGAAAACACAGTGTGAGAACTTCGTGAAGCATATGTAAATATCAACAGCTGAATCAACCCTGTGGAAGAAAGGATATCAAGAGTTTGAAGCCCAGCTTACTGAAATAAGACATGCAGACAAAAATAGAGAAAGGGGAATGAAAAGGAAGGAATAAAGCCTCCAAGAAATATGGGACTTCATAAAAAGACCAACCCTATGATTGATTGGGGTACCAGAAGGAGGCAGAGAGAATGGAAACAAGCTGGAAAACACACCTCAGGATATTATCCAGGAGAACTTCCCCAATCTAGCAAGACGAGTCAACATGCAAATGTAGAAAATACAGAGAACACTATTGGGATACTCCCTGAGAAGACCAGACCCAAGACATAATCATCAGATTCTCCAAGGTCAAAATGAAGGAAAACTCTTAAGGACAGTCAGAGAGACAGGCCAGGTCACCTACAAAAGGAAGCCCATTAGACTGATAGCAGACCTCTCAGTGGAAATTCTACAGGTAAAAGAAAAAATTAGAAGCTAATATCCAACATTCTAAAGGAAAATAATTTTCACCCCAGAATTTCATATCCAGCCAAACTAAGCCAAGAAGTAAAATTCTTTCCAGACAAACAAATACTGAGGGATTTCATTACACCAGGCCTGCCCTGCAAGAGTTCCTGAAAGAAGCACTAAATATGGAAAGGAAACACCGGTACCAGCCACTGCAAAAACACACCAAACTAAAAACACCAACGACACTATGAAGGAACTACATCAACTAGTGTGCAAAATAACGAAATAGCCTCATGATGACAGGATCAAATCCACACATAATGCCATATGAATTGTTTTAGCAGTGTCTAAAACTGCGACAGCAGTGTTCAGAGAGGAATTTATAGCACTAAATGCCCACATCAGAAAGCTAGAAAGGTCTCAAATTGACACCCTAACGTCACAATTAAAAGAGCTAGAGAGCTAAGAGCAAACTAATCCAAAAGCTACCAGAAGACAAGAAATAACTAAGATCAGAGAAGAACTGAGGGAGTGAGACACAAAAAACCCTCCAAAATATCAACGAGTCCAGGAGCTGTTTTTTTTTTTTTTTTTAATTAACAAAATAGATAGACCACTGGCTAAACTAATAAAGAATTAAAGAGGGCGCCGGAATGCCCGTGGAGGGGCCGGTGGGCCCGCAGGCCTGGCGGCGATGGCGGTGGCCACCGCGGCGGCTGTACTGGCCGCCCTGGGCGGGGCGCTGTGGGGGGCGCCCGGCGGTTCGTAGGGTCCGGGGTCCAGAGGCTGCGCAGAGGCGGGGATCCCGGCCTCATGCACTGGAAGACCGTGCTGATCACTGGGGCGAACAGCGGCCTGGGCCGTGTCAGGGCAGCCGAGCTGCTACGGTTGGGGATGGGGGTGATCATGGGCCGCCGGGACCGCGCGCTGAGGAGGCGGCGGGTCAGCTCCGCCGCGAGCTCCGCCAGGCCGCGGAGTGCGGCCCAGAGCCCGGCGTCGGCGAGGCGGGCGAGCTCGTAGTGCGGGAGCTGGACCTCGCCTAGCTGCGCTCGGTGCGCGCCTTCCGCCAGGATATGCTCCAGGAAGGGCCTAGGCTGGATGTCCTGATCAATAATGCAGGGACCTTCCAGTGCCCTTACATGAAGACTGAAGATGGGTTTGAGATGCAGTTCAGAGTGAAGCATCTGGGGCACTTTCTACTCTCCAGTCTTCTCCTTTGACTCCTCAAAAGTTCAGCTCCCAGCAGGATTGTGGTAGTTTCTTCCAAACTGTATAAATATGGAGATATCAACTTTGATGACTTAAACAGTGAACAAAGCTATAATAAAAGCTTTTGTTATAGCCAGAGCAAACTGACTAACATTCTTTTTACCAGGGAACTAGCCCGCCGCTTAGAAGGCACAAATGTCACTGTCAATGTGTTGCACCCTGGTATTGTACGGACAAATCTGGGGCGGCACATACATATTCCACTGTTGGTCAAACCACCCTTCAATTTGGTGTCATGGGCTTTTCTTAAAACTCCAGTAGAAGGTGCCCAGACTTCCATTTATTTGGCCCCTTCACCTGAGGTAGAAGGAGTGTCAGGAAGGTACGTACTTTGGTGATTGTAAAGAGGAAAAACTATTTTGCCCAAAGCTATAGATGAATTTGTTGCAAGAAAACTCTGGGATATCAGTGAAGTGACGGTTGGCATACTAAAATAAGAACAAGCAGTAAAAGAGCATATCAGTTATATCTGTGATCAGGAATGGTGTGTTTTGAGTATTTGTTAAAATGTTATTAATACTCAATCACTCCATACCATTTGTATTTTTTCAGCTAAAGTATAACAATGAGTTATTATGTTTAAAACCATATACAGACGATTATTAAAAAATTTGAATAATACGTATGTTAATCAAGGCTTTCCAGAGCAGCAAAATCAGTAGGATAGGTGGATTGATAAACAGATGATAGATATGAGGTGATTTATTATGGAAATTGGCTCATGTGATTACAGAGGCCAAGAAACCACACCTATTAGTCTGTTCTCATGCTGCTATAAAGAACTGCCCAAGACTGGGTAATTTATAAAGGAAAGAAGTTTAATTGACTCATAGTTCTACATGACTAGGAGGCTTCAGGAAACTTACACTCATGGAGGAAGGGGAAGCAAACAAGGAAAGGTGGGTGGATAGATGGGTGGATGGATGGATGAATGGATGGATGGATGGGTGGATGGATGGACAGATGGAAGGGTGGATGGTTGTATGGGTGGATGGATGGGTGGATGGGTGGATGGATGGATGGATGATGGATGAATGGATGGGTGGGTGGGTGGATGGATGGATGGTGGATAGATGGAAGGGTGGATGGATGGATGGGTGGATGGATGGATGGGTGGTTGGATGGATGGATGGTGGATGGATGGGCGGATGGATGGATGGGTGGGTGAATGGATGGGTGGATGGGTGGACAGGTGGAAAGGCGGGTGGTGAAAATGCCAGACTTCTATTGAAGTATGAATTACTAGTTGTAATATGGGGAAATGCTTTCAAAGGGAAAACTCTCTTTTGCCTCCTAACTTTAAAGCCACCAGAAACCAGGGAGATTTTTGTGTTTCCGTTTCTCTGCAGTTGGGTCTTTGGCTTTACAAATCCGCCACCTAGTGGCTAAG